CAGCGAGCTCTTGGAGTGGCACCAGGGAACATTTCAATTGAGCCAGTATATTTTGAAAGGATGCTTTTTTTTTTTTCTGGACGAACTACGGTTCTCAATGGTACGCTTAAAAAATATTCCAGTAAACCACGTTATAAACAGATGTCCTGTTTGGTTCTTGTGATCCACCTACCCAATCTTCTATAAACTGGAATCCCAGTAACAAACCCTCCTTTCTGCAGAACAGTCTCCTCTTGGATCTCATTTGATCCTTACCTGGACACTGAGAGACCAGGACCCTTTTACAGGTGGAGAAACGGAGGCTCAGAGATGTGTCCAGAGTTAGACAGCAAGGCGGTGACCACGCTGGATGAGCCCCAGCTGATCTGCGTGGCAGCGTGGCCAGCAGCATAGGCCCTGGCATTCAACTGCAACTCCACTGCTCACCAGCCGTGATCTCAACAAGCCACTCAACTGCCCCAAGCCTCAGTTTCTCTATTTGTGAAATGGACATGATCATAATGGTCCCACCTCCCAGGGTTCCTCTGAAGGTAAAGTGAGTTCACTTAGCACAATGCCTGCTTCTCCATAAGCGCGCAGTGAAGTGCCAATTGCTATTATTGTTCACTAATCCAGGCTTCTTTGCACTCTGCCATGCCCACCTCTATAATTACTTGTAGTTCCTTGAAAAAAAGGAAAAAGGGCTCAGGATCTAGGAGCCAGAGGGCCAGCTCTAACTTCCCCTTACCCCTTATGTTGGGCAAGCCACTGCCCCTCCCTGAGACTTGGTTTCTGCATCTGTGAAATGGGAGTGCCTTCAGAGGTCTTGTCATGGATTCTTGTGACACCAGGAGAGGGGACCTCCTTGGACACCTGTGGGGTCAGCAAAGGCTCACTCCAGCTGGGGCTCCCCGGCTCCCTGCCCGTCACTAACATCTCCCACCTTAGACCTGGGTGCACTCCAAGCTCTTGGCCCACCTCAGGTGGATGGGGGACAAAGTTGCTCTTGCCACCTGACTGGCCCTCACGTGGTGCTCAGAGCTGCAAATAGGGCCCCGCTCTTCCGCCTGAGCCTCAGTGCTGACCCGTCAGCCCAGGTCTTGGCGCTGGGCCCTCCCTGTCTTGCTGCTTTGGCCTAAGTGACACCCTCCACTGTTCTGACCGAGTCTAACCCAGCTTCCCTGATGCACCCACAGTTCACCTGCATGTCTACGAGTCCCATGTCACTGTCACTATTCACTGTGCCCTACCTATCAGTCCACATGGGCATCCTGCTATCTCAAACTGGACCCATGGCTCTGGCCCAAGTGTGGCCCACCAGCCCCTTGTCTATTTGTGCAGTATCCAAGAGGGCCTCCTGCCTGCCCGGTTGGACAACCAAGAGCTGGCAGCTGAGTCTGTCCATATGGAGTCGGCTCCACGTTATCCCAGCACAGCTGGGCCAGGGGTCTGCCCGTCCTGGCCCGCGCATCCAGCCCTTCTGCAGCAGCAAGCCAGCAAGCCCCATGGTGAGCTGCCACAGGGAGAGGGTTCTGAGAAGAATCCTAACAGCTGCATGTATTGGGTACTTACTGTGTACCAGATGAGAGTCCAGGCACCTTCCACATACGAACCCATTAATGCTCACAACAGCCCCCGGGACAGGTGCTAGCACTAGTCCCGCTGTGCAGCTTAAAATCACAGCCCAGAACGTATACATGGCTCACCCAAGACTGCACAGTTAGTAAATGGCAAGATCAAACACCACAGTGCACCTCCAGGACCCACACTCCCAATCTCTACAAAGACAGCTAAACAGTCTGGCCCTGGGACTTCCAGAGGGTGGCTGCTTTGCATCCACCAAGCACCTTCCAGCCTACGCCGCCTGCCGTTCTTGACTCAGTTTCTGCCTACCAACAGCAATCTGCAAAGAATCCCATTCCTCCTTGAGGCTGGTGCCCACCAGGGTGGCCTTTCTCATGAAAGCAATAAACCTTAGGCCTCTGAACACTCAGCCCCACCCACAGGGGCCCCTCTGGCAGGAGGTTTCCTGCCTCCCACCCCAAGTCCCCTCCAGCCCACAGTCCATTTGGCATTTGTTCTCCCCGGCTTTGTTGGAACCATATCCAGCGATGTCTCATCACAGCTGCAACCCTGGCCCTAGCATCTGACCTGTTCCCAGACCTCATAACCTCGTTAAAACAAAATTGGCCAATCACATCCAAACACACCAAGAAGCCACTCTTCCCACCATACACTCCTCTCTCTCTCTTCCTCCCTCACTCATCCCCCACGCCCCAGGTGCCCTCACCTGTCACAATGGGGTAGGACTGCGGGCCTGGCACACTGCTCCCGATGTCAGCAGGCGTGGGGCTGGCCAGATTGGCCTTCATGTCGTCCAGCCCACCAGCCAGCGAGGCCATGGCTGAATACTCTGTGGTCTGAAAGAAGAAACAGAGATGTCTCAGCACCAAGACTCCACAGTATCTTAGTCAAATGCCAACTCCACGTTCTGAGCTCAGCCACCAAGCCAGATTAGTCCATGCCTGTGCCAAAGCCCACAAGGGGCTCATGAACACCTCCAATGTTGAAAAGGCAGAGTCAGCTTGGTGGAACAAGACAGTTGTCCAGAATCAACAATCTTCCCAGGAGAGAAGGTGGGCAGGACTCAGTGCAACTTCACGAGAATCCAAACTTGGCTCCCTCTGGCCTTCATGTTGCCCTCACCCAGCTCCAGTTGGCCAGAGACCCCACACTCCTCAGTGCAGGGAGGGAGGGTCCGTAACCAAAAGCAAGGCAGAAATAAGTGTTTTCTTGCCAAGAGAATGGAAAGAATGGTTTCTGATTTCTGTGCTCTTAAACCACAAAGGTAGAATCACAGAAACAAGGGTTAAGAGGAATCTGGGAGATCATCCAGTCCAAATCCTCATTTCACAGATGAATAAACTGAGGCTCAAGGGGAGGAGGGCTTCACCCACCATCAACAGGGAAGAATACCAGTTGGGGTGGGTCACCATGAATTCTCACCCTAATCCAATATGTCAAACCAACTGAGCCACCATTTGGCAAGTGTTTTTGAATTCTGGAAGCAGGTAAACACCTGTATGCTGAAAACCACGGGGTGCACATATCTAATTTAGCAAGCCACACCAACCATGTGTATTTAGCCCATGAATCATGCTCCTTTCTTTAAGCCATTTCATGAAATCAGAGTTTGCAATGAGTCATTTCCTTGTCATCCAAGCCATTGTCAGAATGGTCTCCAGAGAAGGCAGCAAAGGCACCAACCTGGATCTTTCAACTGAAGGATAGACTAAATTATAAGCACGAGTGACAAGTCTCTTCCTCCCACCCCACCCCAGGGCCTATTTTCAGGTAAAGAAAATATATGTGACTGGGTGCAGTGGCTCATGCATGTAATCCCAACATTTTGGGAGGCCAAAGCGGGTGGATTGTTTGAGCCCAGGAGTTCAAGACCACCTTGGGAAACGTGGCGAAACCCTGTCTCCACAAAAAATACAAAAATTAGCCAGGTGCAGTGGCTTTCACCTGTAGTCCCAGCTACTCGGGAAGCTGAGTCGGGAAGACTGACTGAGCCCAGGAGATCAAGGCTACAGTGAGCCCTGATCATGCCACTGTACTCCAGCTTGGGTGACGGAGCAAGACTCTGTCAAAAAAAGAAAGAAAGGGAAGGAAGGAAGGAAGGGAGGAAGGAAGGGAGGGAGGGAGGGAGGGAGGGAGGAAGGAAGGGAGGGAATTTGCAAACATTTAAGCCAACAAATTTGTTTGTCCATGTGAAGATTTGATATGGGGAGTTTTCCTCCAGGACCCTGGCTGATGGAGGACACACCCATGTTGGTCCAGGGTTATGTCCTTGTCAGGCAGGGACACGGAAGCACGCAGTCTTCTGGAAGGAGCTGCAGGTGCCCTGAGCAAAATGACGAGGACTGAGCCACTGGGAGGGAAACCAAAGGAGCCCCTGGGCACGCGGCAGGCAGAAGGGGCTCAGACCCAGGCACATTCCTGGTGTCTTTCCCTTCAAATCAGAGATTACTTCCTGGGCAGCTAAAGTTTCAACTGGGGGTGATGGCAGCAGGGAGTTGAGGAGGTGCTGCAGGCCCAGGCTCTAGATGATTCGTGCTGAGGACAGCATGTCCAGAGTTCCCCAGGGCTCTTTGATCCTCACCCATCAAAGGCTGGTTCTGAAACATGTAGAGAAGAGCACAGGCCCAAAGCAACCCCAGGTCCTTCTAAGGGAGAAGAACAAGGCCAGGGGGACAGGCTTACCAGGCATCAGGAATCACTATAGAGCTACAGTAATTAAGACAGGGTGGTATTGGCACAGGGGTAGATAAATAGACCAATGAAACAGAATCCAGTCCAGACCCTGATCCGTGCACATATGGAACCGTGATATATGAAGGAGATGGTGTACAAATCAGCAGGAAAGGATGGACTTTTTAATAAACAGAGCAGGGGTAACTGGTTATTCATTCAGAAATGGGGGGAAAAAAGAAATTGGATCTTTACACCAGACACAAAAATCAATTCCAGGTGGATTAGAGACCTAAATGTGGAAGACAAAGGCGTCTAACGTGGTCAGCTCTAGGTCCAGCCAAAAATCCTTGGGAACAAGTCCGCCCTTTGTGGAAGGAGGAGTGCCTTTTCCGGCCTGGGATGCTCACACAGGGTTCCTGCTCTCTGTGGGGATAGTGGTGGGACCCAGTCATCCTGCTGCCCTGTCTCAGTGCCTCCTCCTCCAAGAAGTCTTTCCTGACCACCATTCCGCAGGAGTGTGAGTCCCACCCTCATTCTGCTTGCCCCGCCAAGTGGTGCCAGAACAATAACAACCACAGTCTTCACAATTGCATCAAAATCTCACACTCATTGAGTGTTCACTCTGTACCAGGAGCTTTAGCTGTACTATCCCATTTAATCCTCACAGTCACCCCTTGAAGCAGGCTCTATGACATCCGCATCTTACAGATGAAGAAACTGAGGCTTTTATGATACAGCAGGAATGACTTGCCTAAGTTCATACAGCTTCTAGGTGCCCAAACCAGGATTCAAACCTGGGTCCCTCTGACTCCAAAACCTCGACAATGACCCTAATGATGTTTATACTGTGAGTACCTGATTCATTAAAACACAGTGAAATCAACTTGCTGGTCCCAACATTTTTATAAATGAAATTGAAAAAAAAAAATCCAAGTGTCTCCCACATAGAAAGGATAAGTCCTGTTTTGTGAATCTTTGTTTCCCTTGTCAGTGGGTATGTGTGTATGAGGTAGAGATTAAGATGTATTTCTTGCTATAGGTCACAGCCAGCAAAGTTTGGAAAATACTGCCTTCATTCCATGCAGCAGGAGCTATTGGAAAAAGGTTGCTGTCTAGACTTCTTCTTCTGTAGAATGAGACTTTGTCGCGGCATTAACCTCCTAATTTTCTGAGAATGAAGTGGGCATGAATTTAGAATTCCACTCAGCAGAATCAACTCCTTCAGTTCATTGCTGTGTGCAAAGATGGCAGGTCAAAATGTCTCTGACAAGGGTCTTTTCCTAGATGGCATCTTCTAGAGTTTTTGGTCCCCAGGGATAGGTCCCAGTTCCTCCCTCTTCTCTGTGTTCCCGAATGCCCTAGTGAAGGCCTGAGCATAGTGGGCATGCATTCATTCAACCTTTACTGAGCCCTGTTTTGTGCAATATGATGTGTGAAGACCAGACACACTCTTTAACCCTCACCCACAAACCCCAAGAAATTCCATCCAAGAGGGACAAAAGCAGAGTCATTAATGTATATGGGGTGTGAAGTGGTCAGGAAGGGTTTCTTGATGCAGGCTGTATTTAACCTGGGGCTGAACAATCCCTAACTCTCAAGACTGAGAACAGCTGAAGGCAGGCTCAGAGGTGATAGGACAGGAGTGACCCAGAAACAGGCACATGCAATAGTTAGAGGGGGTGCAAGTGTAAAGGGGAAAGATGGAACGGTAGACTCGCTGGAACTCGATTGTGAAGGGCTTGCACTATGAACGGTGAACCAAGGAAGGAGTGCTCTTCCTAAGGCCAGGCAGCATCCCAGCCAAGAGTCAGCATCCCTGCGCCCCTCCCCAGCCCACCCTGGGGCTTGGCCCATTCCTAGACCTCAGCCTCTTCTCTTTGACATGGACTGGGCTGCTTCTGCAAGGGAAAGCCTTTATTTCCCCCAAGAAAGCAGAGCCAACCTGGGTTTAAGAGAACCGCAAAAAGGGTGGTCAACAGGGATATATCCTGCCTTTTAACATATTTAATTTCCAGATGGAAGAGGTTTGTTTTGCTATTTGATTTTTGTTTTAGTCAACAAATTCAGTATCAAACAAAGCTCATCCAGCCACTTCAAAAGCTGGGTTTGGATCATCTTTTTAAGACAAGAAATCTTCAACTTATGTTATGCACACAGTGGGAGGTCCGAAAATCCAGGTGTCCAACCACCATTGGCTCCCAGAAAGCAAAGCAAACCTGGGGGACAGTGGGACACTCAGAAACGAGTCCTTAGCTGCACTTCACCATCTGTGCCTTTCCTTTTCTTTTTTTTTGAGACAAAGTCTTGCTCTGTCACCCAGGCTGGAGTTCAGTGGCACGATATTGGCTCACTGCAACCTCTGACCCCCAGGTTCAAGTGATTCTCCTGTCCCAGCCTCCCAAGTAGCTGGGATTACAGGCGCACGCCACCACACCCGGTTAATTTTTTGTATTTTTAGTAGAGACAGGGTTTTGCCATGTTGGCCAGGCTGGTCTTGAACTTCTGGCCTCAAGTGATCCACCTGCCTCAGCCTCCCAAAGTGCTGGGATTACAGGCATGAGCCACTGCGCCCTGCCATCTGTGCCTTTCACCATCACCACTTTGCAGGGCTTGCCCAGAGCCCAGCCTCTCTTCTTTGGCGGGATTCCCTCAGTTCTTACTCTGCTCCTGCATGAGCCAGGGGAAGCTGTCATTTAGTTTTGGTGTTTAATTGTTCCCTAAGTCCATCACTTAGGTGATGTGGTGTCTGTGATTTTTAAAGGCAACTGCATTCTCCCCAATCTCTTGGGTTCCCTGGAACATTGCTACACCACAGCTCCTCAGCCATTGCAGACACTGTCCTACCTCCACCTGGAGGGCCCATCTCACTTTGTCACTTAGAGAACTCTTACATTATCCACAAGACCCAGTTCACACGTCACCTCCTTGGTGAAGCCATTCCTGAGCTCCACACTCCTGCAAAGAAACAATCTCTCCCTTGTCTATGCTTCCACACTTGGTGGCTTTTTGTACAGACCTCCATTATCACAATGCAGAGTGGCTGTTTGTCTATCTCCCTCCAGGTTGCCTTGAGAGTGTGGAACATGGAATATCCCTAGTGCCTCCTAAGTGCTTGTTGAATGAATGAATGAATGAATAACTGAATAATGGTCCAGTAGCATGT